TCACTTAAGACCATAATGTGCAATGCAGTTTCTTAGGCTGATTACTAATGGGTACATTTGGGTTTTTGAGAAACTAAATATCATCTTATGTATTCAGAAGTAACTTAGTCTATGGGAGGAATTTGAGACTTCAGGTCTGGAAAGGAACTCACCCTTGTGACCCTGTTTTTAGTTAAGCTATAGAACAATAGTAAGGTTTGCTCACCATGGAATGGTCAGCCATTCAAGATGAAAAGGGCGACATTAACCTAGGGACAAAGTTCAGAAGAGTTGGGAAGAAGGATGGAATGAAAATAAGAACCACAGGGAGAAAGTGGGATAAGTTATATTACATGGAGGGGACTGCAATCATTGAGATGAAACAAAGCGGATGGTTTGTTTAATGCAAAACTGATGATCTGTTCCGTAAACTTTCACTCAATTCACAGCAAAACATTTCAAGAATAAAAGAAAACAGTCTATCCTTCTAGGTAGTTGAATCGTCATCATTCTTCAAAGGGGATATCCACATTGGAATATTCTAAATACTTGAATAATTTACCATCAGGCGATCTTGCTGATACCCAACTCAGGCATCTTCTGCTACAACTTGTCCACATGTATGAAAGACACATTCTGCATGATGGTATTGGACTTAGAAATACACTTCTTTTCCTTTGTGGCAGTGATTTTCTAAATTTAGAATAACATACTGGGCCTGTCTATTTTTGCTTCACATCTCTGAGTTACTAACGTAATCATCATTCTGCCTTCCTGTTCTATTCATTTCTAGATTTAGAATTTTTCCTACCTAACTGGTCCACATAACACTCAAAGTTACCTAATTAATAATTATACTTCCAAATGAAGTTCAGCATTTCCCAGCTGGTTGACCTGATTAGTAGAGCAGGGTACTAATCACGAGGCTAAGGCCATAGCTGTGTTGTCTGTGTTGGCCAGTTAGTGAGTGCAGCAGCTCCCAAACTTGTGCCTGTGGTCCTATGAAGGGCGTGATGAGAATACCAGGGTCTCCCTGCTGTAAGAAAACAGCTTGGCTATTGATTCAGTATCATCACATTGGCTGTGCAGCATATCTTAAAAGGAAGAGGAGGGAAAGAAAGGGAGGAATGGGGAAAGGAGAGAGGGAGGAAGGAAACAGAAAAAGAGAGAATAAGAAAGAAAAGCCACACATAATAGTAGATACGTTCATGGAGATAAATAGTAAAGGAAGAATAACCGGAAGCCTGGCATGACCTTTCCTCCGGGCTCTTATTCCTGGCAGGCTGTGAAGCAGCTTTGTCTTTACCTGCTCAGTGGATCTCACAATGCTGATGCACTGCTTTAATTTGGGAAGACTTTCTCTTGAGAGGAATGTCTTTTCTTGCTCTAAGACGCAAGTGCTCCCAAGTGTGGCATTCTCGGTGACAGATGTACTACAGTTATGCTTTAGCTGACTCCAAACCCATAGCTTCCCAGTGCCTGAGTGGTCTCTTTGATGTCCAACAAAGTGTCTCCTTAGAGAGCAGGTCTTTACTGGAAATATCATCCACGAAGGTAGGGAGGTGTCGTCCCTTTGTTCTGTAACAACACTTGTTAAATTCTATAACCCACTGCCCCAGGGCTATTCTTTCAGAAGATCTAAAATGCATTTACTGATGAGCATAAATACCCATGGTAAGGCACTGCTCAAGACAGATTTAACAGACCCTCCTTTCCTTTCTAATCTCTTCTCTTGGCTGCTCCATTTTCATAGATGACCTCAATCTCATATGACTCTGTGAAGATAAGGACTTTTTAAACTATTTGATCATCTCCAAGGGGATCAGATTTGCTGGCAAATACAGCTTCACTTCTTATAGCAATTTCTGGATCTTGTTGGCAGAATCAAACATGTGATTGGAAGGATCAGCCAGCTCTATACATGTCCATCTGTGATGATTTTGCGTGTCTGTTGCTCGCTGATGCTCAGTGTCATTCTTCTCTGAATTCCGATCTTCCCACCATCAGAACTCATTCTCGAAGAAAGGCATAAGCATGCTGTTGTTGTTATGTGCCGTGGAGTCGATTCCAACTCATAGCGACCCTATACAGGGTTTCCAAGGCTGTAAATCTTTATGGGAGCAGAAAGCCTCATCTTTCGCCCACGGGACAGCTGCTAGTTTCGAACTGCAGACCTTGCAGCTTGCAGCCCAATTTGTAACCACTACACTACCAGAGCTCCTTAGGCATAAGCACAGCCACAGGCCATTTCTGTTGGAACATGTGCCACTTATCTTCTACCAGGAGTTACAGCTCCTCCTGCCAGCACCAGTGTCTGCTAAAGGAGGCATTGCTTCTCTAACTTTGCTCTTGCCCATCCAAGAAGAAGGAATTTATTTCCATCCACTAAACAGCTTGCATTCTCTCTTGGTGCCCTACTTAGTTAGAAAAGGGCTCAAGTCTAGGCAGGATGACTTTCCCCATTTTTTTTACATCTTATAACAAACAGCTCTTACATTAAAAGTATATAAAAGCTTATTGCTGTTTAAAGCCTGCCTCTAAAGTGAAAGGAGATTCCCCTTTGGATGTAACATTTGATCTTTGGCATTTACTGGAGATGACAGTCTAATGAATTCCAGTGCCCGAAACCTAAGGGGAAGAGAATTTGCAAGGTTTTGGGTTTTCATGCCTTGTATATACTTATTGTTGTTTGTTTTATTGTAAAGATGAGGGTAAACCAAAAAGTATTGCTACAAAACCATGGCAACCTTGATTAAACAAAAATATCAAACTGGGAATCTGTTACATCTCAACACATCCTCCATCTAGGTCTATACCCTTCCCCAAATAATTCTGCAAAACAACAGTTTTGGCATCCTGGAGGGGACCCAAATTGTGTTCCTTTGATGTGTTCCTGAGTTTGGGGAACAAAGAGAAATTTGAAGGGACAAGATCAGGGCTGTAGGATGGATGAGGTGAGATTTCCCAGTGAAATTCTAGTAGGTCAGGCCTTGCTGTCCTCGAAGAATGAGCAGGTGAATTGTCATGATGGAAAAACATTTCCTGGCCATTTCCTCACCAATGCAGTTTTCAGTTTTTAAAAAATTTCTTCATAATAAGCTCCCATGGTTGCCCATATGCCCTTTGAGAAAATCTATCAAGATTACTCTCTTGGGCATTACTAAAAACAGTCACTGTAACCTTCTGAGTTGACGCTGACCTCTCTGCTTTGAATTTAACAGGCCCAGCAGATCCCCTTGCAAGCCGCTGTTTTGACTGCATCTTTTATTTGAAGGCACCCTAAGGAGACTAAGACCAAGTGCATTACTGAGAGAACTTGTCTTCAGCCATCCATTGATCACAGACATGTCTAGACACGTTTTGTTTGGAATAAACTTCTGCATTTTGAACTGGAATCCCAGTTGCAATGCATTTTAGCTTACTTTCCTCTTAGGTGGCTTTCTGTCTTGAGCATATTCAACCTGGTGCTATGGCACAATCCCAGCCCAGTTGCCATCGAGTCAATTCCAAATCATTGTTAGAAAAAAAACTGGTCCCACAGAGTTTTCAGTAGCTGATTTTCTAGAAGTAGCTCACCAGACATTTCTTCTGAGGCACCTCTGAGTATATGCCAACCTTTTGGTTAGCAGTCAAGTGTGTTTACCATTTGCGTCACCAGGAACTCCATGGCAAACTTGTTGTTGTTGTTAAGTGCCGTCGAGTCGGTTTCGACCCATAGCGACCCTGTACAGGGTTTCCGAGGGTGTAAATCTTTACGGGAGTAGAAAGCCTGATCTTTCTCCCGCGGAGCAGCTGGTAGTTTCGAACCGCTGACCTTAAGGTTCACAGCCCGATTCGTAACCACTACGCTACCAGAGCTCCTTCCATGGCAAACTAGTTATTGATAAATTCAATGGGTCTTGTAGTCGTTTTGTTTTT